CAATGTAACCTTGAACAGAAATGGTGAGAGCAGATATTCTTCTCTTATGTTGTTCCAGATCTTAGAGGAAAAAGATTTAATATTTCACTATTACTCTTTAAAAAGATGACTGTTATATTGAGAAAGCTCTTTGTTTCTAGCTTGAGAATTGTTTAAAATATTTTTTAAAAATGTTTTGATTTTTTAGAGATAGAAGCATCAATGTGAGAGAGAAACATCAGCCCTGGCCAGTTTGGCTCAGCGGTTAGAGCGTCGGCCTGCGGTCTGGAGAGAGAAACATCAACTGGTTGCCTCCTGCACAACCCCTACTGGGGATCAAGCCCGCAACCCAAGCATGTTCCCTAACTGAGAATCCAACCTGGACCTCCTAGTCTATGGGATGCCGCTTAATCCACTGAGCCACACTGGCCAGGCTAGCTTGAAAGTTTTTAACATGAATTGGTTTTGAATTTTGTCAAATAATATTTTTCTGCCTCTATTGAGACCCTCATTTTTTTTATCCTCACCCGAGGACATTTTTCCATTTTTTACTCAGATAGAGTGGGAAGGAGTGAGAGGAAGAGAGAGAAACATCGATGTGAAAGGGACACATCGAGTGGCCGCCACCCACACGACCCAACCAGGGCCGGGGACAAACTGCAGCCAAGGTACATGCCCTTAGCGGGAACCAAACCCGGGTCTCTGTGGACCGAAGGCTGACGCTCTAACCACTGAGCCAAACCAGCCAGGGCGAGACCCTCATTTTGTTTTCCCCCTTCATTCTGTTAATGCGGTGAGTTGCACTAACTTTTCAATGTTAAACTGCACTTACACCATGGTAGCTTATTCTCTATATTGCAAGGTTCAATTTGCCAATATTTTGTTTAAGAATTTTAAAATCTGCCCTGGCCAGTTTGGCTCAGCAGTTATAGTGTTGGCCTGCGGTCCAGAGAGACCCAGGTTTGGTTCCCACTAGGGGTGTGTACCTCGGTTGCAGTTTGTCCCCAGCCCTGGTTGGGTTATGCAGATGGCAGCCACTCGATGTGTCCCTTTCACGTTGATGTCTCTCTTCCTCTCTCTCTCCCACTCTATCTGAACAAAAAATGGAAAAATGTCCTCAGGTGAGGATAAAATAAAAAATTTTTTTTAAAAATCTATCTTCAGCCCTGGCCGGTTTGGCTCAGCGGTTAGAGCATCCGCCTGCGGTCCTGAGAGACCTGGGTTCGGTTCCCGCTAAGGGCATGTACCTCGGTTGCAGTTTGTCCCCGGCCCTGGTTGGTCGTGCGGGTGGCAGCCACTCGATGTTTCCCTCTCTCTCTCTCTTCTGCTCTCTCCCTCCCACTCTATCTGTGCAAAAAATGGAAAGATGTCCTCGGGTGAGGATTAAAAAATAAATAAATAAATAAAATAAAAATAAAAATCTATCTTCATGTGGGATATTTAGGTAGAAGATTCTGTTGGTCTTGGGTATTTGGAAGTGTTCCTTCCTGCTCTATTTTCTGAAATAGTGTAGGATTGATATTTTATCTTCAAATTTACTGATGAGGCCATCTGGGCCTGAAGTTTTCTTTGTGGGGAGGTTTGTGATTACCAATTCAATTTCCTCCCTCCCTCCCTCCCCCTCCTTCCTTAATTTTAGAGAGGAAGAAAGAAATATATTGATGAGAGAGAACATCAATTGGCTCTCTCTTGCATACCCCATACTGGGGATTTGGCCCACAACCTGGTCATGAACCTTGACCAGAAATCAAACCGGTGACCTTTTGGTGCATGGGTCGATGCTCAACCACTGAGCCACACTAGCCACAAATAGATTTTGAAAGAAATCTATTCAATTTCTTTAATAGATATTGAGCCGTTGAGATTTTCCTTTCCTTCTTGTGTAAGTTTGGTTTTGTATTTTTAAGGAATTTGTCCACTTCACTGGACAAGTTGTTGAATTTACTGGCATGAGGTTGTTGAAACTATCACTTTAATATCTGTATAACTCTATTAGCATTTTGGCTACATTAAAAATTAAAATTTTGCACACAAATATAAAGTAGATGGCAAATAATGAATCAGGGGAAAAGAAATAGATATGGCAGAAAAAAAGGTGTGTATTTGCATACATATATATAGTAGGAGCAAACAGTCTAGTGACAGAAAAAGTGAATTATAGTTCAGTGTGATAATTATGAAAGGCACAGACACAACATATAGGAAGGATACCCAGTCTAATTTGGGGAATCAGGATCACGATGTTCAGGTGATTAGTCAGATTTTTCAACTCTAGGTAACTTAATATAATCAAACTTATGAACACTTAAAAAGCTGGACTTAGACCTCTAATATAATTAGTTCACATTGGTTATACAGCTGTGAGGGCTGGAGTCAACTGATCCCCCCCTCACCTTTTCAAAGGCATATCCTTAATTTAAAAATAAAACAATTTTGTTTCTGTAAAAATGATTGTTAAAAAATTAAAACAACAGAGAAAAGTTAAAAAGGTAAAAGTCACTTGTATTTTGGCCAACATCCTTCCAGATTTTTGTACACTTACACACACACGTTGCTATTATACTATTCATCTGTATTTTGCTTTGCTTCTGGGAAAAATACTCAACATATATACATTTTCATGTAAAAAGAGATTTACATCATTGTTTTTAATGGCTCAAGGGTATTCCATTATATGTATGTACCATAATTCAATGTCTTAGTGATGGCACTTAAGTTGTTTCTAGAAGCACCTATCATAAGAAAAGGAGTGAGCAACATTCTTGTGAATCTTTTCTTTTAGCCCTTTTCCTTAGAGCAAATGACTATGACATGAGATTGTTGGGGCAAAGGTTAATGCTTATGTTAAATTTTGATGAGGTTGTACTAATTTTAACTTCACATCTGTAGTGCTCAACAGTAATTATATTGCCATATCCCTGTCTACACTGACAAAAAGGATCTGCTTGGAAGATGAACATTTTTTCATTTGTTAATTAGATGTTTTTCTTCTTGTTTTTAGGACTTTCCTATTGAAATCCTTTGCCAATTATTTATTGTGGTGTTAAGTTTTAAAATTGATATTCTATAAGCTTTTTGTATATTAGAAGTATTTTTCTTGCTGTTTCCATATAATATGCATTTATTTTCCAATGGTTGATTATTTGTGGGTAGAAGATTACAATCTTTCTTTAAAGTTTATTTTTTTTTTAGAAAGAGGGAGGGAGGAAGAAATATATGTGTGAGCAGAACATCGGAACATCCATCATCATGCCTCCTGCATGCCCCCTACCTGATCCAGTGGAAACCCAGGCCTGTATGCTGACCTGGAATTGAACTGGTAACCTTTTGGTGGACAGGACTGAGATACACCAGCCAGGGCAGATTACAATCTTTACGTGGTTTATTTTTACCGACTTCTTTCTTTTATGGCTTGTTTTTTTTCATACTTGAAACAAAAAGGTCTCTTTGTTCAAACTTACAAAGATATTCACCTCGATATTTTGGTATTTTTATGGTTTTATTCTTTAACTTCTTGATCCATCTGGTACTTATTTGACAGAGTAGATGTAAAGCCTGTCCCAAGTCATTAGTCATTTTCAGATAGTCTTTTTCCCACTGACCAATGATTTGTAATGTATACTTTATCTCTGATACTTCTGGAGTCAGTCTGCCTGGCTTCCACACTTACCAGTAATGGCTTTGGGTAATGCTGTAAAATTGAGATAATAGCTAGAAAGTTAAATAAGATCACCCGAAAATGTGCTCCAATGCTTGACAAATGCTCAGTAAATGTGAGCTATTTTTAGTAAACACTCACCCATACACAGAAGTTTATTTTTGGATTCTAAAATCTGTTCACTGGTATATCTCCCCTATCTATGTGAACCAGCCTTTAACAACACTCCATTACCCAATTCCTGTCGCATCTGATACTCCTCTTTGCTCATTTCAACAAAAAAGTCCTATCTCCGTGGTCTTTTTTTTTTTTTTTTTTTAGCCTTCATACAAGCCTATCACAGATACCTGTCTAATCATAACGAGAGCCCCAAAATGTTAACTTTGGGGGTAAAAGTAAGCTGTGCTTCACAAGGTAGTGAGGGTCAAAACCCAAACCCAGGCTCTGAACAACCACGGGGAGGGGATGGTGCCTACCTATTCTACCACCGATTGGGAAAGGCTGAAACCCTACCTTATCTCAGTCGTTGGCACAGGTCTGAAACTAGCCCCTTTTCTTCCAAGTCTAGTTACGACCTAGACACAGGTCGCGGTGCCACCGCAGTGGCCCGGAACCCGAGCGACTGCGGGAGGAGGTGAGCAGGCGGCGCGGGGCCTGGCCCTGACCCGGCCGGTCCTCGGCTCCCGAAGGCCAGCCCGGCCCCCGGCCCCCGGCCCACTCCTGGGCTGAGGCGGGCACGCAGGCAGGCGGCGGCGGCGGCACCACCACCTGGAGCCTCGGGGAAGAAAGCGTGTTAAGCGCTGGCACAGAGGAGAAACGCGAAAGGGGTTAAGACCGGAGGCCAGGGAGATCGGCTTCCCGCTCGACCGCGCGCCTCCGTCTGGCTCCGTGAAGCAGGTGGCCCGCAGCGGCTTCTCCGTTCCTTGGGGCTCAGGGCACCTCTGCGTCCCCCGACAGCCGCGGCGCGTTCCTCGGCCCAGCGTTGCCGCCGGGCGGGCTGCCGCTCCCGCCGCGGCCCGCTCGCCCCTCCCTCTAACGGCCGCCGGCCGCCGGCCGCGGCGTCGGGACGTCATCGCGGGGCGGGACTTCCGGCTTCGCGCGTCTTTAGATCTCGCGACCCGGGTCACCCCTTGGGGCTTGAGGGGCTGCGGGCTGCGGGTGGTGTCTCGGCCAGACGTCGTGCATCCCTGGCCCCGCACCCCTGAGAAGCCCTGCCCGCCGAGGAGGAGCGGGACCTTTCCCCGCGGCCGACCTCTCGCCCTGAGAGCTCTCCCGGGCTCCCTCAGATTTCCCCGCAGTCCGGAGCCCGAGGGGCGCGCTCGGCCGTCCTCCTGCTCTGCCTGTTCCGCCCGCGCCGCGAGCGGCCTCCAGCACCTCGCCCGGCGTGGCGGGCTGGGCAGGCACCCGGCATGTGGGACCGGGTCCCTTCGCCCCAATGCCCGGGCGAGAAGAGCTGAGTGGGTACCGGTGGTTGGAGCGGTGGAGGTGTCTCTCGGGGGCGGTCGTGGCCAGAACACCGGTCACTGTGAAGTTTCGTGTCCGCACTTTGCAAGGCTGTGAGTCTGGTACGTACCCCTTTTACTTATTTTTATGGGGACGCTGTCTTGTCCATATTGTGGAATATCATTCCTTTTTGTTGTTCACAACTTGCCCTCGAAGTATTTTTTTCTCGCAATGTAATCGGAGCGGGTGCTGGGAAAGTGGGCTGTGACATGGGTGGGAGCCGGTGCGACGCACGTGAAAGTCCGTGGAGCTTTTGATGCGCTCCCGCGGGGTGCCTGTGTAGCCAGTTTGGTAACTAGCTAAACATGTACCTCCAGTTTGATTTGTGATGAAAATGCTATGCTACCATTTTCCTGGCACCTGAAGACAATTTTAACAGTGATGTCGACTGCCGTTACGGAGATAAACGTCTGGAGTATGGAAGTGAAGGCTGGGCTTAAGTGGACACTGATAAATCCTTAGTGTCCAGCTCTGGACCATAATAAATGGGCACTTAGCTCTTAAAAGTGTCCACTGCTAAGTATTTAAAAAAACCTTTGGTCTCATTAGTTATAATGATGAAGCTATTTCGGTAAAATCTCGAAGTCTAGGATAACAGGAAACTTGTTCATCATTTCTTATATAGGATGTAGTTGATAATGTGTTCAGACTGTGAGCACAACATACATGTGTAGATCTAAAACTGAGTAGGTTGTTAAAGCGTTGTGCCTGTTACCAAGCAACATCTCCGTAAACAAGTGTAATATTCAACTAGACTGTAATTAAATGTATCTATCCTACAGTTATCTAGATTCAGAATTCTCTAAAGTCATGGGTTTAGTCTGTAGGTGGTTACAGTTAATAGTCACCTTTTGTATTAAGATTTGATTTCAGACTCATTTTGTTTAGAATTATGAGAATGCTTTAAATTTCAATGTCATACAGGATTCTCCAGAGTTGCAAATGGATTTGAGTTACCCTTTGGTTATTTAGGGTAGAGGGTGGCGGGTGTTCCCCTTTCAGTATTTTCTTTTATAACCAGATGAATTGTGCAGACTATATTCAGGAATTTTCTCAAAAAAATGAAGTAATACTAATTTAGGGTTACATAGAGCATTAGGAAATTGAACTGATTGTCCACAGGTGGTTTTTAAGCCTTGGTTTAACCAATAACCTCACTCTTTCTTCAGTCATTAAGATTAAGCCCTTAATGATATAATTTTAAAAAATCCTTATCATTTTAGCATATATTGGCTTAGTGATTTTTAGAGAGAGGGGAAAAGGGAGAGAGACAGAGACAGACAGACAGACACCTCCCTCTACCTCACCTGATCGGTTTTCTTCCATAAGTGTGGTGACCAGGGATTGAACCTGCATCCTAGGTATGTGCCTTGAATGGTAATGGAACCCCCAGCCTTGGGAATATGGGACATTACCCCCCAACCAGTTGAGCCACACTGGTCAGGGCGAACCCTTTAATAATATAATTTGCATGGCAAATAGTTTTCAGAGCATTTTTCATGCTCTTTTGAATGCAGTAACCTTTCAAGTATGTAAACAAGTATGTGAGAACATTTGAGAAACTGAGAATCAGTGACTTTTTTGAGCTCAAGCTGTTAGTAATGGGAATTGGAACTTGAAATTTAATGTTCTTTGCCTCCTGCCCTTACTGTAGTGCACAAGTAAGGTAGACGTCCTTTTAGTCCTCTATCCCTTTTTCCCCCCATATGCTGATGCTGAAGTAATGAAATACTTGAGTTGGTCAAGACAAGCAGAGACAAAGGAAAATCAAGAATGACTCATGTTGTTTGATAAAATCATTAGTAATCAAATGCCAGCATTTGTCATGGGAAGTTCTGATTCAAGAAGCTTAGAATAAAATCGTAACAAAGATTAGTGAATTGACAGAATTCTTTGTGTTTTCTAGGTGCCATCTCTGCCTAAAATAAATGAGTTTTATTTTAACTTTTCATACATAATGTATTAGGTTCAGTAAGTACTTTTCTCAAGTTGTCTAATCTGTGTGTGCTTTTTAGGAAATGTGTATATGTATCTAAAAAAGTTTCCAGAAGTACTCTTTTCTACTGACTGAAATTCACATTTCTTAATCTGAACTCTTCAAAATCTTTCATTCTGCCTTCTCAAGATTATGGTTTTTTGTTTTTTGTTTTTAATAGAAAAGCAATGCTCTGACCATACTGGTTTCTTCACTATCCTCTAAACTTGCTGTGTGCTCTCTTCCTTATCAGTCTTCATGTCATTCTCCCTACCTGACCTTGTCAGATAGGATAAGGGTCTTAAGGTCTAGGCCATTTTTACTAAATACTATTTTTGCTAAATGTCAAAATGTAGCACTGGATTCTGCAGACTAGCTGTAAAAAGGATGAGATTGACAGGGACCTGACCCAATTAATAAGTGTAGCCAACTGAAATCAACATGTAATTGACCAAATAGTATATATAAGCAACTGCTAAGCCTCCCTTTGGGGAGGCAGAACTTTGGATATGAATCCTCTGTCTCCTTTACTTGCTGCAAGTAAATAAAACTAACTACCTTGCGTTTTTTTTACTAGAGCACACCAAATGGCGAACCCCTTGAGTTTGGTAACAACATGATTTCTTCTTTACTTTTCTAAATTCTAAATTGTAGTTTCTTTCAAGTTCAATTCTGCCATGAATTCTATAGGGGAAGAAAAATTCTCTAACCTCATGGGGTCTCTGGTGGGGCCTAAGAATTAAATTGACATAAGACAGATTAATAGGAGAAAAGCATCCAAGTTAAAAAAAAATGTACATATACATGTCAGCCTTCATAGGAGAATGAAACCTAAAGAGGTGACCAGAGCAGAAAGCATTTATACCTTTTAGACAAATAATAACTTTGTAAAAAATCCAGGAGACAGCCCTGGCCGGTTTGGCTCAGCGGTTAGAGCGTCGGCCTGCGGTCCTGAGAGACCCGGGTTCGGTTCCCGCTAAGGGCACGTACCTTGGTTGCAGTTTGTCCCCGGCCCTGGTCGGTTGTGCGGGTGGCAGCCACTCGATGTGTTCCTTTCACATCGATGTTTCTCTCTCTCTGTTCCTCTCTCTCCCTCCCACTCTACCTGAACAAAAAATGGAAAAATATCCTCGGGTGAGGATAAAAAAAAAAAAAAAAAAAAAAAAAAATCCAGGAGACAGAGGGGTTTGGGCTTTGAGTAGAAAATTGAGGAGTAGTGATTAGGAAGATAAGGGTTTAACAGGGTTTGTTTGTATAGATTTCTGGGCTTTGATTCCTCATCTTTGGTGCTAGGAATGTCTTCTTCCTTATAGGCAGGGCACCTTTCGAATGGGAGTTTTATCTCCTGCTTTCAGGAAGAAAAAAGGAGGCTCAGAATGCCTGTCTTAAACCTGCTGTTACTCTTGTGCTTTTAATTCGAAATAATCAATATACTAAAGTGGCATATTTGGGGTTGACATATTCTGAACTCCACCCTTAAAATCCTATAATGTGTATTTCTCAGTCATACTTGATATTTATACTTTATGTTGTATTTTTAAAAAACATTTCTATGTATGTCTATGTTTCTAACTAGATTGTAAGCTCCTTAAGAGCAGGACACCAGATCTCAATGCACTGTATCCTTGGTCTCTTCCAAACAGAAGTTGCTGAATAAACGTTTCTTAGAGATGAGAAATATGCATTTCTACCTTTCTCCCCCTCTCATAGTGTAGTGAAAGTAACTCTGAGTAACTGAGAGAGGAAGGGCAACTGTAAACTGGAAGAAGGGAGACTAATGAGAGAAGATTCATTGGAATCAGAAGGAAAAGGTTCTGTTCCTAGAACGTGTGAATATTTGGCCACTACTCCCAAGTAGACTTGGAATGTTTGGTCAGTTTCCTGGTGCCTCTTTAGTAGAATCTTCCTTCTAAAGATATTTCCTACCTCCTGCCACACTCTCCTCTCCCCCCTAACCTCCCTTTTATCCTTTTCTCCCTATGTCCCATTTTACCTCTTTCCATTTTACTCTACATGGTCAAGACTTAACTAATGAGCCCTGGCTGGTTTGGCTCAGCGGTTAGAGTGTCGGCCTGTGGTCCAGAGAGACCCGGGTTCGGTTCCCGCTAAGGGCATGTATCTCAGTTGAAGTTTGTCCCCGGCCCTGGTTGGGTCGTGCTGGTGGCAACCACTTGATGTGTCCCTTTCACATTGATGTTTCTCTCTCTCTCCCTCCCTCCCTCCCTCCCTCCCTCCCTCCCTATCTGAACAAAAAATGGAAAAATGTCCTCGGGTAAGGTTAAAAAAAAGACTTAACTAATGAAATTAAGTCAATAGTTTTTATTTGGCCCTCATAAATTAGCATTTCTCTTAAGTTTTATATTTTTCCATCAGGACACCTCTCTGGGTCATGGAGAAATCACAGACGATGTAATCTAGCACTACTTTTTTAGTTTAACTGAGATATAATACAGGAGGAAAACAATTAAGAAAATCAGGAAGTGCCCAGTTATTTGCTTTCTTTATATTGTAACTTCAAATTGCTTTTGGATTAAAATTCATAGAGTTAGGAGGAACATAAACCTAGCCATTTCCTCTTGGAAAGCGCCTATTGCCCTCAAATTATGTCTTTAAATAAATCCTAGGTAATTTTTATAGTCTTGTTGTAAATCCTATATCTGATGCTTATAACAAAGAGTTACTTCTGTTAAAGGTGTCAAAAAGTAAAGTTGAGTCTTGGAGTACTTTCATAAATCTGTTTGATTCTCTAGTTTCTTAGTGAGTTTGCTGACCTAGCTTCTGAATTGTTTGTTGCCCAGTAACACAATTGCAGTATAACATGGCAACATTGAAAACATTAGCACTGCACTACAGGGATTTTCCTGATGAAGTTGCAGTGCTTGTCTCCAGTGTTCACATTTAGTCTGTCTTTCTCAACTGAATCACATTTTGGTTTAAGGCAGGCATTTGAGGTATGTTAAAGGGCATACGATATAATTAAGTATATGTTTTTGGAGTATGACATTATAACTTGCACTTTTTTTTCTTATACAGATGCATGATAAGTATATATTGAAATTACAGTGTATGTGAAGGACATATGAAAAG